ATGTGGGCCTCCCAAAAGGTATCTTTAACTGCTATGCCAAATGTCTACCCTTGAAAGAATATTTTTAAAAAACTTCTCCCTAAATATATATTTTGGGTAAACTCAGAAAAACTTTATGGTTAATAATGAAATGAAACCAATGGCTTAATATAAAATTTTATATAAACTCAGTTTCATTATTTTTTAATACAACTTTTCTTAAACTGTAATAACATCATTAACTAGGTAAATCTAACTCTACATGAAATAGCCTTTTAGAATTTAATTTCATATTTATCTGAGGTGGGGAACCTTTTTTTATGCCAAAGTCGATTTGGTTATTTAGAACATCATTAATGTGTAATACAAACTTATCCATTTAAAATTTTGCCTACTATAGATTTGCTGAATTTCAAGTACCACTTGTGGTTGCCTTGGTAGGACAAAATCTGTGGGCTGTCATTACCCACTTTTTTTTTTTAAAGATTTATTTATTTATTTGAAAGTCAGAGTTACACACAGAGAGAAGGAAAAGCAGAAAAAAGAGCTCTTCCATCTGCTGGTTCACTCCCCAGTTGGCCACAAAGCCAACAGCTTCCTCCCGGTCTTCCTGTGCAAGTGCAGGGGCCCCAGGACTTGTGCCATCTTTTACTGCTTTCCCAGGCCATAGCAGAGAACCGGTGCCCATACGCGATACAAGCATTGTAGGCAGCAGCTTTACTTGCTATGCCACAGTGCTGGCCCCAATTCCCAACTCTTGATACACCCAAGTTTTCTTTTTCTACATTCAAGGTAACTGTTTACAAAATAAAAAAATTCTCATAATTACAAATGATATTAAATTTTATAGTCATATTATTAAAACACATGAAATCACAATTATGTGACCATTTGGATAAAATTCAAATACCGTCAGTCTTATTGTAATGAAAATTAAGAGTTATAATAAGTTCACACATTATTCATGGTTTAAAAATGCTACTTACTAGTAGTACTTTCCACAATTTTGTTCATTAGTGTTACAATACTTCATAAAAGGGGCTGGTGCTGTGGCACAGTAGGTTAATCCTCTGCCTGCGGCGCCAGCATTTCATATGGGTGCTGGCTCTAGTTCTGGTTGCTCTTCTTCCAATCCAGCTCCCTGCTATAAGTCTGGGAAGGTAGTGGAAGATGACCCAAGACCTTGGCCCCCAGCACCCACATGGGAGACTGGGAGGAAGCTCCTGGCTCCTGATCAGCCCAGCTCTAGCCATTGAGGCTGTTTGGGGAGTGAATCAGCAGATTGAAGACCTTTCTCTTCTATCTCTCTCTCACTGTCTGTAACTCTACCTCTCAAATAAATAAATAAAATCTTTAAAAAAATACTTCAGAAAAGACTTTTCAAAATACTAACATTATTCTTTATCAAGAAGTTTACAAACAAATAAGCAAAGTTACTTTCAAATGCTAAATAATAATAAGGAAAATAATCTATTTTATGACTTTTTAGTCATGGTCCTTTAATTTCTTTTTGTAGGGGCCAGAGTTGTGGTCCAGCAGGTTAAAGCCCCAGCCTGCAGTTTTGGCATCCCATATGGGTGCCAATTTGAGTCCCAGCTGCTCCACTTCCAATCCAGCTCCCTGCTGATGCGCCTGGGAAAGCAGAGGAGGATAGCCCAAGTCCTGGGACTGGGGTCCCTGTACCCATGTGGCAGACCAAAAAAAAGTTCCTAGCTTTGGATCGGCTCAGCTCTGGCCATTGAGGTCATTTGGGGAGTGAACCAGCAGATGGAAGACATCTTTCTTTCTCTCTGTCTCTACCTCTCTCTGTAACTCTTTCAAATAAATAAAAATAAATCTTTAAAAAAATCTGTTATTGTGACTTCACTGAGTTCACCAATCTTTGAGAAGAATGAGTTTAGTCACCTGTTGGGCTTGATTTAGTTACTGCTGCCTTTGGTTTTCTCCAGGAATGAAGTATTCAGCACAGTGACTCAGTATTTTTAGTTCTTTTGCATGGGCTGGTAGTACCTGTGTTATGCTCTTGGTTACAATCAGTTTTAAAATTCTGTGTAACAGTCTTGGTACCTTAAAGTAGCTATGCATAATCCTGTGGCACAGTACACTCCCAAGCCACCAGTGCAGTTAATATGCTCTCATAGTGGTTTTCTATACTATATGAAAATAGTGATCAAGCCTTGGTTCTCTAATGCAGCTACCACAAGAGGTTGATATTTTTATAGTGGTGTGTAATCTCCTTTTCGGGAGGCTTTTTATGGAAGGTAGAATTTGTAAAAGTTAGTATGCTTTGCCTCTCAACTGCATTGACATGCCACAGGCTCAGAGTGTTTTTATGTAAAGGATGTCAAAGAACGGTACTTTTTCTAAAGAGAAGTTTGATATTTTGTATGCTTGTTAAGAAAGTACAGCATTGGGGCCGGCGCCGCGGCTCAATAGGTTAATCCTCCACCTAGCGGCGCCGGCACACCAGGTTCTAGTCCCGGTTGGGGCGCTGGATTCTGTCCCGGTTGCCCCTCTTCCAGGCCAGCTCTCTGCTGTGGCCAGGGAGTGCAGTGGAGGATGGCCCAAGTGCTTGGGCCCTGCACCCCATGGGAGACCAGGAGAAGCACCTGGCTCCTGCCATTGGATCAGCGCGGTGTGCTGGCCGCAGCGCGCCAGCCATGGCGGCCATTGGAGGGTGAACCAACAACGGCAAAAGGAAGACCTTTCTCTCTGTCTCTCTCTCTCACTGTCCACTCTGCCTGTCCAAAAAAAAAAAAAAAAAAAGTACAGCATTGGAAATTAAAGGTGGACAACTGATAATTGAGGAGTATGTCAATTATTTTTTTATGTATGTTACCTGTTTACCCGTACAACTTATTGTACAAATTACATGCAGCTTCATTTTCAAATGAATCCTTAAAATAAGGAAATCCTTTTAGGAAACATTTAATTTTTTGCATTTTTGATTTTAAAGGCATGAGTTATGTCAGTTTTCAGTGCATTAATGAAGATTTTAACTTTTCACCAGGTTAAGTGTTTTCTTACTATATTATCTGTTGTGTATGTAGTTAGCATATTGTGTCACTGAACTGTTTAAAAACCTAGCATGTAGAGCAAGCCTGTTTTGTGGAAAATCCTTATTCATTAAAAAATAATCATGGTAGATTTTTCTGCAAAAAAAGCAAAAAAAATCTGTTATTGTAATAAATAATAAATGAATATTTTTATTTGAGAACATTTCTTTTTATTTTTTTTATTTGAAAGGCAAAGCTACAGAAAGAAAGAGGCAGAAAGATCTTCCATCTGCTGGTTCGTTCCCCAAATGGTCATAATGGCCAGGGCTGGGCCAGGCTGAAGCCAGGAGCACAAACCAGGTCTCTCATATGGGTGTAGGGACCCAAATACTTAAATTATCTTCTACTGTTTTCCCAGATGAATTAGCAGGGAGCTGAATAAGAAATGGGGGCTGGTGCTGTGGTGCAGTAGGTTAAAGCCCTGGCCTGAAGTGCCAGCATCCCATATGGGTGCCAGTTCTGGTCCTGGCTGCTCTTCTTCCAATCTAGCTCTCTGCTATGGCCTGGGAAAGCAGTGGAAGATGGCCCAGGTCGTTGGGCCCCTGCACCCACGTGGGAGACTCAGAAGAAGCTCCCGGCTCCTGGCTTCAGATCGGCGCAGCTCCGGACGTTGCAGCCAATTGCAGAGTGAACTAGCGGATGGAAGACCTCTCTCTCTGTCTCTACCTCTCTCTGTGTAACTCTGTCTTTCAAATAAGTAAAATAAATCTTAAAAAAAATAAAAAGAAAAAGAAATGGAGCAGCTGAGATGTGAACCAGAGTTCACATGGGATGCTGGCATCATAGGCAGCGAATTTACCAGCTCTGCCACAATACCAGCCCTGAGAAAATTTTTCTTTCTTTCTTAAAAATATTTTTAAGGTAAACAAATTTGATATATACAGATTTAGGAGTATAGTTATCCTTCCCACTCTACCCTCCCTCCCACTCACATTCCCATCCTTTCTCCTCCTTCCTTTCTTATTCTTCACGAGAAAAATTCTTAAAATCATTATAAAATGCAATTGTCCAACTTATTTAAATGCAAAATGATTAAGACTTATGATTATTATTATTTCCACAACTATTTAGTAATTGGCACAATAAATGCATAACAGTGTCAGTTTGAGAAATTTGAGATACTAAATGGAAAAAAATTCCTCCAAGTATTTGAAATTTGCTCATAAAAATTGCCACTTTTAAGTTTAATACATGATTTTGCTCTTTATTCAAGACAGAGTTTCGGTAGAGTTGGTTTCATTAGATTAACACTTGGCCCTCATATCATTTCCAGCTACTACCAGTTCTCTTCTGTGACTATGAGAACATACTTCTAATTTCTCAATTTGGGCCTAACTGTGCCCCTGATCTCACCAAACACCAATCTTTAAATAGCCTGTCAGTAACTTAGGTGGCTATTTCAGGGTAAATGACAGACATGACAGTAAAAAAGAGAAGATGGAAAGTAAAGAATAGAGGCTCAAGAAAATAAAAACAAAGATAGAGAAAGAGATCTGGTGGTCATTTGGTACAGCAGTTAAGTGGCCACATGCGACACCCGCATCCCATATCAGAGTTCTATCTTTGCTTCCCATTTCAGTTTCTTGCTAATGCACATGCTCGAGGCAGCAGGTGTCATAGCTTAAGAATTGAGGTTCCTTCCGCACACGTAGAAGCCAACTGAATTCCAGGTTCCTAGCTTTCACCTGGCCAAGCCTTGACTGTTGTGGACATTTGAGGAGTTAACGGCAGACAGATCTGTTTTTCTCTCTCTCTCTCTCTCACCCTGCCTCTCTTTCAAATAAGTGAAAACTAAACAGCAAAAGGAGTAAGATGAAATAAGCTAGATAAGATTTCCGTCACAGATTGGTATAAGGAAAATTGTATCTTATGAGCAGTCATAGCTTACAAGAACTATTGAACTAAAAATATATACCAAATATACATTAAAAGTGATAATTTCTATCAGGGTGTTGAATTACTTACCTTATCAAGTTCACTTGTCAACTTTTTATTTTCTTCAGTTAATAATACTTTTTCTCGTTCATACTGTTGTTTGAACTCATTTTCAAATTCTTCCCTTTCACTTTGACTAATATAATTCAAAATATTTTTAGAAAAAAAAACTGAATTAAAGGGAAAGTAAAAACTTCAAAGAAATTATTTTTACAATAGTTATACGGTAGATAAATATCAGACTGAACTATAGGAACATTATTCACAAATAACAAGATTATATGCTATGATAAGCTTCATGAAAACACTTTCTAAGGATTTACAATACAGTAACAGTGATTTGTTCAAATATTTAACAAATACTTATGAGGTACCAACTAGGTGCCAAGAAATTCTTATAGGCTCTGAGTATAGGTTCTGTGCTCATGGAGCTTACACTCCCTTGGAGGGGTAAAGCAATGAAAAATGAGTAAATGAATTAATTTTAGGTAATATATAAGCTATATAAAGATATTGAAACATAGAGGCCAGTGTTGCAGCACAGTGGTTATGCCACCACCTGTGATGTTGGCATCCCATATGGGTGCCAGTTCATGTGCCAGTTTCTCCACTTCCATTCTAGCTCCCTGCTAATGGCCTGGGAGTCAGCAGAGGATAGTCCAAGTGTTTGGGCCCCTGCCACTCACACCGGAGACATGGATGAAGCTCCTGGCTTTGATCTGGCCCAACCTCAGCTGTTGCGGCCATCTGGAGAGTGAACCAGTGGGTGGAAGGTCGGTCGGTCTGTCTGTCTGTCTGTCTGTCTGTGTGTCTCTGTCTCTCTCTCTCTCTTTCCTTCTCTCTTCCTTTTTCTTCATAACTCTTACTTTCAAATATAGCCAGGGCTGGGTCAGGCTGATGCCAGGAGCCAGGAACCTCCTTCAGGGTCTCCCGCATGGGTGCAGGGGTCCAAGGACCTGTGCCATCCTCCGCTGTTTTCACAGACACATTAGCAGGGAGCTGGATCAGAAATGGAGCAACCAGGACTCGAACCAGCATGCATGTGAAATGCCCACAGTAGGTCGAAGCTTACCTCCTGGTTCTACCACAGCGTGGGCCCCCCAAAATCATTTAAAAAGAAGTAATTGAAATATGGTAATACAATAAATATTTTTGCAGAGAGGATAACTTTTTTAAATAGTCTCACTAAGGTTAACAAAACAACAAAATGAAAATATATAATTGCCATCTCCTTCATGTTCATTACATTCTATTAGAAGAAAAAGATGAAATCAGATGTTTCTGTTACATGCACAATATTACTCAAAGATACAGAGTCATGGAATCTCACTTAAGACTGAGTCAGAGATACTTCTTGACTTTATTAATTTGATTAAGAGTAGCATTCTCAACTTCTTATTAGAAATTATATCTGAATTTAGTATCTATTTTTAATTTTCTTTAAACTTAACTTCAAAGAAAATTTCAATTTTATAGCAATGTTACAAGAAGAATACAAAGAATGCCTGTATCCATTTTACCCAGATTCCCCAGTTGTTAACACGGTACGAATTTTGCTCCATTATTCTCTGTGTGCACCAAGTTCATTTTTCTTCTT